CCCTCCCCCTTCCCCCCTCCCCACTCCGCTTTGTATCCCAAGGTATGTTCTCTCCCTCTGCTATCATGCACTGGCCCTGAACTCCAGAGGAACGGCATCTGATGACAAAAGGAAAGGGAAGACATTATTATGTAGGATGATCACAGTGTGCTTCCGCTAGGAGGGTTGCTGGGAGAGACACACAGGAATACCTCTCAGAGGCGGGACTGCCTTTCCTGCTTCTTATTGCAATTAATGAATACTTTCCTTCTGACTCTGAGGTGGGTCCTCTATTAGGACTGATATTTAATGTTTAATTAAGTTAATACCTCCACAGATGTATCATCGTCAATTTGCCATCAGTCAGTTGAACTATTACTCAAGGTTGCAGATATAAAGGGCAGTGATCAAAACAAAAAATAGTCCTGAAGTTAATGGGATAGTGGTAGCTCAAGAATGGAGAGGAAACATGGGAAATACGTAGTGAATATTGAACCCTCTAGAAACCAGCCGGTGAGTACCTGTTGTTCCATTTTGATATCTTGCCTATATGAATCTTATTTCTGGTTTTAAAAGAAAACTCTATGGATTTTCTTATAATAACACAGGAGTGATAGTTCAAAAAGAATGCCTAATTATAACTGTTGGGGGAAAGACAATTTATTAACTTCTTAACTATTACTTATGAATCAGAAATCTTATATTTTTGTGCTCCATCATACTAAAAACATAGTCAAAAATGTTTTCTATGTACAAATAGCCTGAAAGATTAGTATTTTCCTGGAATATAATTTAATAATGAGTTATAGTATGCTGTTATAACCGTGCAACACTGGCTTTAGCTATACTTTTAAAATATATTATAAGTCTGAGGTCTAGGTTTTGGTGTCTAATTCATAGGGGTTTTTTTTTTCTTTTTAGACCAATTCTAGAATTCTCAGTGCTCAAATAACCCTGTCTTGAGAATCAGAAATTAATCTTGAATATGCTCTACAAATCCAATAGAGGAACGAAGAAACCCTGGTCATATATAGACGTCATTTTGGCAATTATGTTTTTCACAACCAGGAGTGAGCCCTTTGTTTAGTTTTTATAATTGCTGTGATAACAGAAACAAATGTGAAAATGTAGTTTGAAATGGACAACTTAAAAGTATGTGAAGTATGTCTCTAGACCCAAGAAATAAACAAAGAAGAAAGTCATGTTGCTCAATAAATATTTGTTGAATGATTGAACATCAAGGAAGATACCTCTGTCTCAAAAACAAGAGAGAGGTTTTTTCCTGCTTGTTTCAGTTTATGCGACCCTGAAGATGGCCTCTAGATCTCTCTGAATCCTCAGTTCTCTGATGGG